TCCTGTCGATCAGCACCCCCAGGTCCCTTTCTGCCTGGCTGCTCTCCAGCCACTCTGTGCCCAGCCTGTAGCGCTGCAGGGGGTTGTTGTGGCCAAAGTGCAGGACCCGGCACTTGGCCTTGTTGAACTTCATCCCATTGGAGTCAGCCCATCTCTCCAGTCTATCCAGATCCCTCTGCAGAGCCCTCCTGCTTTCCGGCAGGTCGACACTCCCTCCCAGCTTGGTGTCATCTGCAAATTTGCTGATGATGGACTCAATCCCTTCATCAAAATCATCGATAAAAATGACTGGTCCCAGCACTGATCCCTGGGGAACACCACTGGTGACCGGCCGCCAGCTGGATGCAGCCCCGTTCACCAGCACTCTCTGGGCCCGGCCCTCCAGCCAGTTCCTGACCCAGCACAGAGTGCCCCTGTCCAAGCCGTGGGTTGCCAGGTTTTCCAGGAGTATATTATGGGAGACGGTGTCAAAGGCTTTGCTGAATTCCAGATAGACACATCCACAGCCTTTCCCTCATCCACCAGGTGGGTCACCTGATCGTAAAAGGAGATCAGGTTGGTCAAACAGGATCTGCCCTTCCTAAACCCATGTTGTCTGGGTCTGATCCCTTGTCCATCCTGTAGCTGCTGTGTGATTGCACACAGGATGATCTGCTCCATAACTCTGCCAGGCACCGAGCTCAGGCTGACAGGCCTGTAGTTACTAGGGTCAGCCTTGCATCCTTTTTTATGGATTGGGGTGATATTTCCCAACTTCCAATCATCTGGGACCTCCCCAGTGAGCCAGGACTGTTGGAAGATGATGGAGAGCGGCTTGGCAAGCTATTCTGCCAGCTCCCTCATTACCCTAGGATGGATCCCGTCTGGTCCCATAGACTTGTGAGGATCCAGATGATTCAGCAAGTCACCAACTATTTCCTCCCGGAATACAAGGGGGCTATTTGTCTTTCTATCTCTGTCTACCAGCTCCAGAGGCCAGTTGCTTTGAGGGCCACCTGTCTTACTGGTAAAAACTGAGGCAAAGTAGGTGTTAAGTACCTCAGCCTTCTCCTCATCTCTATTAACTATGTTTCCCTCCAAGTCCATCAAAGAATGGAGGTTTTCTTTGCCCCTCCTTCTGTTATTAATGTATTTATAGAAGG